ATGGGCCTCGTTGTTTTTCTCTGGAAACTAGATTCTAGAGATTAAGGGCATTGCATATGCAAACACCTCCCATAAATGCCGACAAGATCCCTCATTAACCTCTCCTAGTCAAATCTTATAATAAGAAAAAACCTATAAGTGAAGCGAACATATTTACAACACTCAACTTCAGTAGCAAAATTGCAAAGATGACTACCCTGAAGAATTGTAGTAGATATAATAAAGTACCTTCAAGAGAAAGAATCCGCCCTTGTTGCATGCTGATCTGATCAATCAATAACCGCGTCTGTCTAGTACATTGGGTTTCTGCCTCGATCTGAAATGAATACAGTATGAGGTTTTTAGGTTTTCTTTACCGAGACACGAGCAAATCACTGCCATTGGTAGCTATAAAATTAGTAACATCAGAAAAAATTTGGGTGAAGCAGATTTAGTAACCTCAAATGCATTATCTGTTAGGAAGCTGTAAGCCGCAAATATACCATATCCAACTAAATATTTAAGTATGGATCAAAGAAAAACATGGTGTACATACAGCATCCGCAAGCCGATCAGCATACTGTGATTGAGTAGCAAAAAGGCGCATCTGAGGATCAAGAACATGAGTGAGTTGTATCACACAAATCTATCGAAACTTTTGCAGCACCAGGCAGTTTAGTCAAACCAACGGACATGAAAGAAACTGATGCACCATTCACTCAAGCATTCGACAACTATTAATTTAGGAAGAAAAAGACTGGGTCCCAGTAATGCAAGTATCTTATTTCTATCAGAATCAAATCAATGAAATCATAACAATATATAATTTAGCTTAAGAATTGAAGAAGCTGGGCATGCGGCCAATCGAATAGTGTCGATCGCATCTCAGCAAAATCGACTCCCACACTCAGAAAAACATAGAGCTCAGATTATCATAGATCAATAGCAGCAGAGAGGGTTTGACCTGTAAGTAGATGAACGGCAAGACTGCGACTAGAAGGAGATAGCGGTAGTCGAAAGACAACTTCCGCATCCTTTTTTAGCCTTAAATTTTACTTCTGTCTTCGAGGAGAGTGAATTAGAGACAAATGGAAAGAGAAGACGAGGTTCTTTCCGATGAAAAGAAAAAAACCCCGCTCAACCGCACAAGTCCACTACCGGAGAATGGCCTAAAAATGAGCTGCGTGGGGGTGGGGTAAATTGCAATTTCCATGAGACAAAATTATATATATATATATATATATATATATATATATATATTTTATTTATGGTAATTTTTCTTTATTAATATATCAATAGTAAGATAAATATAAATAGTTTACATATAAATTTTATAATATTGTAAAATTATTATTTGTACTATATTTATATTTATCTATATATCTATATATAAAGAGATTAACATTTACTACTGTTGTCAAACGAAAATTAACAACTATATAATCGACAGGGATTTGTAGTAAACATAAGATAAATCAATGAAGGCTTATATGAACAGTGAAAGGAGACATAATTTTTCTGAGTATTATTGTATGCGTGTCCTCGCTGATTGGAGAACTGTTTTTCTCCTTTTATATTTATTTACAACATTTATCTATTATGTAATCATTACATGAGAATAGTCAACGGCGGCTGATTGCCATTCATCCTGGTAACGTGCCACTTGGCCAGGTATAATGATGAGTTGTGCTGAGTTGGCACCGTCTCTTGGTGTCGGTTTAGCAAGTCATAGATATCGGTTCGTGTTGTTATAACCGATATGTCGTATCCGACATGTAGTAACCGACATGTCATAACCGACATGAAATATCGGTCGATTGATGACGATGTCGGTTCTTGATGAATTTGTACCCGAAATATGATTGTCTTGAGACTAGTGCTAGAACCTTGAGATCTGTAAAGGCATCATCTACTTTATACGACTTCAATCATCCTTCTATTGAACATAAGCATCTGATCAACATCGCCTAATTCGGTTTACTGAAAATGATGTCAACAAGGTGGCCCCCAGCATTAATGGCTGTCTTGGAAAAGACGGGCAGTGATGCTGAAAATTTCCTGATAATCACTTAATGTTGAGTAAGTGAGACATATCGGTTTTGCAACCGTTTCTCCGATATCTTTACACTTGGCAGAAATAACGCTGAAAGTTGAAACGACGCAATTCATTAAAATTAATTGCAACGTTTACTGATAGGGGTAACAGTCTTTTTATTAGGCCACGTAACCGTTGATAATAGACACGATTCTCAAGAGTTGTGTCGACTCGCGAATTAAGAACGTTCGGTCCACGCGCCCCTACTTCTTTTGGTTTCCAACGGTCGCTACTAAATTTAGGGTTTAGTATAAATAGGAAATCTTCTCTTGAGATTCACTTTACTTTGACCTTCTTCTTGCAATCGTCTTCTTTGTTTTTCTTTCGAATTCATCGCCTTTCAACTGTACTCAAAGCATCCCAGATCTGCGAACTACTTTTTGTGGTAAGAATTCTTTTTTTTTCTTTATCTTGATTATTTATTTCGTCCCCTTTCTTTTTTTCTCGACATCATGAGTGTATCGTGGGCGTCTTCTGGTGACGATGAACTGGATGTTATGATGATCAACATGGTCCACTCCGGGGAGATGGAATTGTTGTCCGAGTATAATCGGTGGGACCCGATATTTGTCAAACGGTTGAATATTCGGCTAAACGACAGCGAGGGGGACAAAATCGTAGAGAAAAATGCCATTGATGACTCAAGATTCTGGAGGCGACCCATTAGGAGATGGCCGGACCCCGAACTTACATCCCATGGCGAACCAAGTATATTTACTGATGCCGACGTTGTTATGCTGCGGAGTGAAATCCGAGTTCCTACGTCGGTACACTTGTTTGCTCCATACCCAGGTGAGAGGATTACATGTCCTCCACCCAACTGCGTCGGTGTGTTCGCTGAGAGTCTGAGATCAGGGTTGCGATTCCCTTTGCCGCGCATAATCACTGAATACTTGCGGGACTGGGAGTTTCCGATATGCCAGATCGCTCCAAATTCATGGAAGCGGATTATTGGACTGCTGGTTCTCTTCGCCGAAAAGAATTGGGATTTACCGTCGGCAAAGGATATGAGGAGTATGTTTACATTCTGGAAAAGCCCGGATAGAAAAGTATCAGATCCACTTCTCACTTTTTCCATTGTCGGTAAACCCCAGCCAAGAGTCAAGGTTGGCGAGTTAATAATGGAGGTCCCCGACACATTACACGGCTTCCAAGAGGAATGGTTGTGGGTCGGTGGGGATTGTCAGTGCCCCGACTTCGCTAATGATCTTCTTGCCGATGGGACAAGTATCCCAACGACTATTAAATCTGGTTATTGTAAGTTGTTCACCATTTTCTCCATTTCGGCTATTAATATCTTGTTTTTTGTTCCCGCTAACAGGTGGACTTTTGTGACCTTGTAGCAAAACCAACGGGAAAGAGAGAACCCAAGTTCGAAGGCTTACTGTACGATCGGGTGGACAAGTTATTCGAAGTCTCTCATAATAAACGACGATATCAGCGACTCGTGAAGGATTCCCTATTAGAGCTAGCTGGTTTATCTCCCGGGATACTTGACTCTTCATTTCAACCAGGTAATTTTCTCGCTTACTTTGTTTTATCGCTCGTATGGATGAGGTCGGTCTAACTTTGAATTTGTTGTAACAGTCTATTATCCACTGCTGGGATACTTCGGTTTTGGAGATCCCGTAGAGGCAGAAGAACATCGGAGGCGTAATCCAAATTTTGATTTGAAGAACAAGGTCGGAAAAAACAAAAACCTTCGATCAACAGAGATGGCCGGGCGCATGAACCTTCTGAAGTCATGGAAGAAGAACCCCAACCGTTCTCAAAGTGCTGTTGGTGAACCATCGTCTACAAGGGTGGAACCGACACCGGCGATCGTAAGTGAGCCGTTGGTTACCGACGTCCCACCACTTGACGTTGCTCCGATTCAACAAGTGATGACGTCGGTAGAGGAACCCACTGTGTTGACCGACATCTCGCGAGAGGTGTCGGAACAAATGTAGTCCAACGACGTAAGAGATCTAGTGTATCTCATGTGGCCGAAAGAATTAAGAAGAAGCCGAACACTGGCGCTGGCAAAGACAAGGAGGAGGAAGAACCTGAGATCATCTTGAGGGACTCCTTCCTCAAGGTTATTGAGAAAAAGGCGGCGGAGTTGATGTTGCCGGAAGGCGTGTTTGACCCTTGGTTCTCGATGTTCCAAACGGTCGCTGAGCCAAAAGTAACAATTAACCATCGGGTCCCCAGTGAGGCGGTGAAGGCGGCGAAAGTTCCGCTGATGTCATGGGACCCAAAGACTCACGCCGAAATCGCGTCTCTGCCCGACGACCAAAAGTTTAGCTATGCCCGGGGTTGTTTGGGACGGGCACTGGTTAGCTTCATCGCGGCTGAAGAAAGTTATAAGGGCAGAGTACATGAGCTTGACGAGAAGCAGCATGAGTTGAGCTTGAAGGAAGGTGCCATAGCGTCCTTAGAGGATGAAAAGTCTCGTTATGAGGCGACGATGTCGGAAAAAGATGCTCAATTAAAAGCGGCACAAACTGAGGTGGGCGCCTTGAAGACTGAAAGGGAAAATCTCTTACTGGCGCATGACCTTATGTCGGTTCAGCTGGCCAAAGTCAAAGAAATGGCCAAAGAAAAAGATGAACAGCTCATGAGGTTAAGGGCTGAGCTTCAGGTTGTCCGCAAGGACCGATCTGAGAAGGATGCCAAACTGATCCGATGTCGCGAGGCCCATGAGACTGCTATGAGCAAACTTCGTCAGGAAATGACAGCTGCAGCCGAACTCAAATTCCAGGAGGGTATGGACGTCGGTAAGAAGACTGTGGCAGAATCCGACAAGGCGTCGAGTGCAGACGTAATAACCGAGTAGGATTTAGAGCTAAACGTCGCACTAACGTTGCGCTGGGTGATTGACAGGGTGGAAAACGGCGTCTACACCATTGATGAGTTGCGTATCTTCCTCCTACATAAGATGGAGAAGCATGGTCTTAATCCTGAGATGAAAAGCGCCCATATCCCAGCAGATCAAGATGAGCGGGATTTTGCCGACCGACTTCTAAAGCAGAAGGAAAGTCAGATGCTGGAGTTGGATATGGTGCCTTTGTTGGAGGAACGCAAAGCCAAAATTCGTCGGGCGTTCATTGATATGGTCCTTGAGGTGGAAAAGGCCAAGAAACCCGAAATGGCAAATATATGTGTGGAGGCAATTGCCGAGGCCTTTGTCGTCGAGACACTCGAAGGGTTATCTGACGAAGAACTCCTGGGCGCAATTACCAGCTTCGCCCTACGAAAGGTGGCAGAGGACGATGCCAAGGCCAAATGATGGGTGGTTGAACCAGTCCCCTCCGACGACGATCGCGTTTTGCATGAGGATGATGATGTCGTCATCATAAAAGAGAGTGATGTCGTCCGAGCACTGGAGGAAAAGGAAGAAGAGGTGATTCAACGCTTAAGCCAGAGGTTTATTGATCATCTGGATGCTGCAGATAAAGGGAAAGATGACGCCGGGAACCTTCACTTTTCAACAACTGGAGGGGCGTCGTCATCAGGGACGAACAAAGATGAATGAGATCCCATATTAGTTGTTTGTTTTTATTTTCTTTTTCGTATTTTGAATGTAATGACGATCTCTCATTATAAATGAAATTTAATGTTTTAATTTAATTTCGTGTTTTATGAATGCATTGTTTTGACATTTACTGTATCAAGTCAAAACATGTCGGAGGAAGATAAACAGACGTTTAATGGATCATGCTCGTAATTACTCCGACGCGATATTTAATACTCTTTGGTGTCGGCACAATTTATAGTTTATCCGACATCTGCAAACTCTTTATTGGAACAAATCATAAAAGACTTGCTTTTTACTGTAAACATTTATTGTGAGCTCATCAAATCAACGTCGGGATTTGATATTATAGAGCATAAGCCTCCCCAAACCAACTTCAGGGCTTGGAAGTATCCGGCTTTGTCGCGTTTGGCCAGGTCAT